AGCAGTAAAACTCTTTATAGAAAGAGACTTTTTTTTTTTTTTTTTTTGAGGAAGATTAGCTCTCAGCTAACTACTGCTAGTCCTCCTCTCCTTGCTGAGGAAGCCTGGCTCTGAGCTAACATCCGTGCCCATCTTCCCCCAGTTTATACGTGGGATGCCTACCACAGCATGGCTGCAAGCAGTGCCATGTCCGCCCCCGGGATCCGAACCAGTGAACCCCGGGCTGCCGAGAAGCGGAACGTGCGAACCCAACTGCTGCGCCACCGGGCCGGCCCCTTTATAGAAAGAGATTTATCCTTTTAGGTAGTCCATATAGCACCTTCCCTTACTTCCATCTATTAGGAACATATTGTACAATGTTGATAGAAAAGGCACATTAGAAAAATTGTCATGATAAATATGTAAATCTCTGATGTCTATGGTGTGCATGATGTACCCTAACCTTGTGCAGTATACAACCTCCACAACCGTATGTGACAATGTTGAGTTTTTAGGATTACTGACTCTTGGGATTCTGGTCTTGCCTTCTGGGGGCCAAAAAAAATATATAGAATGCAAGTTTCAGTGTCACTGACTGCACTGATTGCCAGGATGTAGACTTCACTATGAACGTCTCGATAATCATGGACACCAACCTCTGGCCACCTTGTTCAGTTATTTCTTATCCCTGAAAGAATGCCAAAGGCAGAGCTGTAACATACCTAGGAGAGTGAATGCTAGAGGAGAAGATCAGCAGATCTGCATAATTCATTTAGGACTGAGTTGCATCGTGCACAGTAACTCGCTATCCAGAAGCTGGATTGCTGGGTAGTGTAAGCATGGGCTTCACACTGGATCCTCTCATAACGCATCTGGGTGCTCTCGCTCACAGCGGGCATCGATGCATCTCACATTCCCTGAGCCCCTCTTTGAAGCTCTACCTTTCAGCCTTCTCCCTCTGCACTGCGTCCATCAGGCGGCTACACCCAGGCCACAGAATGTGACAAATGGTCCTCTTTTCTGTCTGCCTTTTCCCAGAGCAAAAAGACAATCATTAGCATTCACTAAGTTTTTTTTATTTTGTAAAAAGTCCTTTCATCGTGTACACTATCTCAAAATTTGCTAGCTGTGGCAATGCCCTAAGGTAGGTCTCATTTTTATTCTCATGCTAAAAATTAGTTAAATGGCTTGCTGACAATAACAGAACCAACACAGGGTAGGTCTGACAAGTAAGATTTTGATTCCAAATTAATATATATACACAAACACACATGCACATATATTTTATATGTTTTTTCAATTATAACCCCCTATCTCAGAATTATGAAGAGGCAGAAAGTATACATAAGAAGGAAGGAGAAGCAGAGTTCAGGAAAGGCTGCCATGATGAATAAAATGTCCTCTTACTGGTATATCTGACTCTTCAGAACTTTCCAGAGTATGCAAACTGTCTGTCTTTAAACACAACAGGTCCATTTTTAACTAATAGGAAATACTGGGTCATATCCAGAGGTTCTATTTAAGTGAGGCCATCCTTGGCACATAAAGCCTCAATAAAACGTTTGTTGAACTGAACCCTCCTTGAACAAACTGGGTATTCTAGACAGACAGACATTGTCTACCAAGAGCCCAGGAGAGACCAGCCAACGGTGTTATTCATTCAGAGGTCTGCTTCGTGCAGTTATTGTTGTTCAACTTGTGGCATACCCATTCAGCCACAACTTTGCAGGAATCTTGCCCTGTGTCTGGCTTCAGTAAAATTTTGGTTTCTGTGTAACAAAGAAAAACCTGTTTATAACATTCTGAGCTCCCCAGCGATGGACTTGGCCTTCCTTAGGATCTGGGTGATTCTGCTTTATGAAGTCATTCAAGTGAGAGGCTGAATAACCACTTTCTAGGGACAGCCTAAGTGAGTCACTCCCCCATGTGGAAGCTGAATGGATACTTGAATAGGCAGCTGGTTTCCATCTAGAAGTAGGAGATTCTTGCAGATGAGGTAACAAATCTATCAGCAACAAAGTTCAAGGAATTTCTTGACAGGCCCCAGATGCTTTCTGGGAAAGAGGCTATTTCTTGCCATGTTCTCTTAGTTTCTAATGATTTTATATTCAGATGCGCCATAGCTGTCTCAACTTCCAGGGAGATAAAAACAGCCTAGAGGAGCCACTAAAACATCCATCAGCAAATGAACTTGGATGCAAGACTTAAAATACGGAGCATGAGAGGGAGTGGTGCTGGCTAGATAGAGCCCAAGTGTATATTCTTGAGAAGAATTCGCTCTGACACAGAGGATGAAAACTGAATTCACACTGTCTGGCTGAGGGCAGCAACAATAGGCTGTGCTTTTTAATGGGTTTCCGAAAATGCTGCATTCCATCCCTTGGCAAAGGAAGTCCATTAATAAAGGGAGAGTGGCTGGTAACCAGCTACAGATAGTGGGGCTGCACTGGCTCACTGTGATTAGAAAGCTCGCTGCACTTAATACATCCCCTATCCACGTTGAAACAGCTTCATTTAATAAAGCAGTATGGCTGCTGACACAAGTGTATTTAAAAATGGGCATAAATAGGAGTCCAGAGCTCTTGGGAACATTCCATCTGCTTGTGGGAAGGGTGACAGCAAGGTGCAGTCTTAAAAGGACTTGTACTTTATAAGTTAAACCCAGTCCTGGATGCTAAAAGACAATGACAGGGATTATAAATATAAAATATCACTTATAATATATACATACACATGTATATACTTTATACACACATGTACTTTAGCTAAACTAATCTACCCTTTCCTGGAACATTGGTGAACCTCTTAGATTGCCAATACAGCATTCTCTTAAAGGCATCATTTTTTCCCCTGGGGGAAATGTGAGTCATTTTATTCAGACAAGACAAAATGTAAGTGGGGGTAGTGGGAGAAGTATTGAATCTCAAGAAAAGGCACCAGAGTTTGATGGGCAAATTTTCTTTTTGAAACAAATTAGTCATTTGTCTCCTGGGACAATTCATTACAAACAAGGCTCAGAAAATCAATTTGAAAGAAATCAGCATTATAAAATATAAATATACAACTGAAAGCCAGCAATCAGGCTTCATTTAGATCAGTCTGTATTTTTCTTTCAGAGGGAAAGGGAAAAAGAGAAGAAACAGCATTTGGCTGGGAGAGAGGAGCCACAGCCTTTATTGAATCACTGTGTGACCATGGGGCATTGGCTTTCTTCATGTGGAAAATGGGGATAATAATGCTTTCTACTCCTAATCCCCTGGGTTCACACGAGGATTCAAATTGATACTGTGGGTGAAATTGTTTTGAAAGGGCAACACAAATGTAAGATGTATCTAAATATTCTGCAAAGCATGAAATGATTGAGAAATTGATGTGCTCCAACACAGAACAGTGGAAAGAAAACCAATCCGTGACTCAGGAAGGCTGGCAGGTGGGAAACGGCAACATGTATTTATGGAACTCCCACAATGTCAGGTCTATTTCACATCCTTGGCCATGCTCAGGACAACCCTGGGAGTTTGGGCTTGTTAAGTTCAGTTTCCACGTGGACAGGAGAGTAAGAGGAGGAATATGAAATTTGCCCAAGTCATACCCAGAGGAAGAGCACCCAGTACCCAGGATCTGTCTATAGCACCTGGGAGTTACCCGACTCTGTCAATCGCTCACTGTGTGATCCTTGCCAAGTCAATTTCTTCCTGTGAAAAACAAAGGGATTTCCCCAAACCTAGTTATTTGAATAACACCTTCTTGATTTTTCCTAAATCCATAGACTACCCATCCTATGGTTTAATTAATGCTTTTCTAAATTTGATAAGAAAACCCATTACTTCTATAAATGGAAAATCAGTATTTTTCTAACACATTAAAGCACACAGAAATGTTTCTAACACACACTAAAATATCCAGCTATTATAGCAAAAATATGCTCAGATGTACACCACCTAGGTTCCTCGTTTTGGGAAACACTAAGCCAAGTGATTGCTAGCTCAGCTCCGGAAATCTGTGCTCTACTGTGGAGTAAACAGATCAGATGAGTCAGGTACCAGGTACCAGCTGCCCCATAGCTTGGCTTCTCTCTTACAGTGGCTTCTTACTCTGTTTCAAATACTTTTTCTCCAATCCTTCCTTCGTAATTTTCTACACTCTTCAACTACATTTTCAACTCTTAACTTCTAGCCATCTTCGATGCAAATTTCAGCAAGCTTTTTTCTGAGAATCAATGTGGGCAGAGGGATGTGGCAGGTGTTATCAGGGCTTATAAAATGAGTAATGCACGCCTATAATATGTATGAGTCAAGAGTCAAGACAGATGAAGCAGTTCAAGAAAAAATTACAAAGAAACATAGCAGCATACATACAATAACCCATTCTAGCAGAGACATAGTCAGAGTAGAAGAACAGATATTCAAAGATCAACCTTAAAACTGAAAAACACCACAGGGGCCACCTAAGTCCAGGCCTGCATACCAGAGGCCTAGGATTTAAATCCAACTGTCAAGGATGTTTGGTTTGGCATGCAAATTACTTAAAATAGAAATAAGAGAACGCCTCTCCTATTAACCTCAGTCTTCAACACTTGCTATGGTCTTACCCTAGGCCTGTTTCACTCATTTATGTCCTCTACCTGCGCATGAAGATGTTTGAGAGTACATTCTGTGATGTATTTCGAACCTCAACCCCATCTCTAAGCATTACACAGAAGTATGAAAGTGAAGCCAAAGCAGCTAAGAGCCTATTGTAAAAGTACAGCTGGGACTAGAGTCCTACAGCTCTTGGGTATCAGTGAAGTCCTTTATGAAGTTCAATCTACAATGATGCTTTCAGAACGTATCACTCTTATATAGGGTCTTGAAAGAGATGTTAGTGAATCCAACTTTACAAGAAGATACATTAGTTGAGGAAAGTTGCAAAGAAAAGAGGCTGAACAGAGAGGACTGAGAAGTTTCAGAGATGGGAAGGAGATATGCATTAAAACCAAGCTGGTGCAAAAGAACAGCAAGTAGATGAGCATGCAGACTCACCTTCTTCCTAGGGCCTGGAAGGTAAGGGAGATGAGGAACATGCAAGATGAGAGGGAGTGTGGAACTGGAGAGCCCAGATTCTACCTAAAAGGATTCAAAAGGTAGTTTAAGAAATAGCATGCAGGTACAAAACTTTATACACACTCTTTCTGGAACTAATAGGAAACCAGGCTCGAAAAGCAGGAATAGCAGGGCTTGAAAACTAATTGAGGTGTCTGAGTAGACTTTAGAGATAGAAGGGATCTTAAATACCATGTGCAAACCTTTTTCTCTTCCAAGAGAGACAATGACCCCTGAAAGGTTGTGTGAGTTGCTCAAGTTTATGTGCCTCAGTAGACACAGACGGAAACTGGATACATGGCCCTTCATTTCCAGTTTAGTGTATTTTTCTACTTCTTTTGGGTTTGACTGGGTTTAATGTAATAGGCAATAAAGTGAATGATGATGCAAAAATTTAGTTTGAGAAAATGGAGTTTGCATCTATATTCAGCAACAATTGCAATAGAAAGTGAATGGAAGAAGAAAAATGCATCAGCAGATCTTGCTTTCAGGTCTTATTTTAAGGCCAGGGCTTCCTTGTGATTACCAGTATCACTATCCCTTTTCCCAAGAACCTGATAAATAAAATTTAAAAGTAACTCTCTTCTCTGCCAAAGGCACCAACTTACCTTTCCCACCCACCCTACCTATTATGCCTCCTGCAGAATCATCACCTTGCAAACAAGTTGCCTCCTACAAGGCCTCTTGTAACCTCGTGAGCTTGCATAAGTTCTATTATAATATCATAGAGTGAAGGCAAAGTCAACCACTAGTCATAAGAAAAAGCATCTAGGACATATTTCTGAGCAACTACAGAGCAATTTATTTTCTATCTGTCCAGATATGTGTCAACAGTTCACTTTCTGACTTCTGAAATCAGAAAGAGTTTCTGTAGGCCAGAATTTATCGAGCTGTTTTAGAAAACACCGAATGTCAGCAGAGGGAACTATTTTTATCACTGTATGTTGTTTAACGGCCCTTGATGGTGATCAAATTTACAGCACCTATAAAAGGCTGGACAAGCCAAGAGGCTGAGCCAAGAACTTTGATTTCTAAAGAACTAAGCATTACACAGCAAAGATTCTAGCCAGTGCCTACCTCAAAAAGTGAAGGGAAAGGGGTGCCAATAAACAGAAAATTAAAGGCATAAAGAATTAGGTATACAGCCAAATGGGCAAGTATTTAAATTCTCTTCTTGACACCAACTCCTCCTCAGAGTTTAGCAATCCAGTAAATATTTATTGAGCAGTTCCAAAGTACAAGGTTCTGTTCTAGATATTAAGACGGTCAAAAAAATAAATTAAGATTTAGTCTCTTATCTTCAAGAGCTCCCCAAATACTGAGAGACAGAGAGGTGTAAATAATTTACTGCAATGTACAGTGGGATGTTTTAAGTATTATAGTGGCTCAAGCTACACGCTGTAGGTACCCAGAGGAACTGATTTAAGAAAGTTTGATTATTATATAAACAAAATTTTGAAAATTGTAAGCAATTATGTGGATTAAATCAACTTCTATTGTCTGAAAATTAATTAAAAGGATGAAAATTGAAGCCATTTATAATTTTGACATTTTATCTGTAAGTTTGATAATAGAATAGCGCTTTAAAAATGTGAAGGCAATTTTCTTGTGAATGTTGGCTATTCTGAACCAGAAAGAGAAAAAGCTATTATCTTTAATGATTCTTAAATGTTTACAGATAATGTGGGCTTTCTCAGGTAACTGGTTTGATGCAGAACTCAAAGCAGGTTTTGCTATGTGGCATTTCCTTTTCTACTTAGCTTCCTAAAAATCCAGAAGTAAACAATCATTCAATAACAGAGACAGAGCCACTGGATCACAAGATCTTGGCTAACTCTAGGGGAAAGTGCATCACCTGTATAAAGTTAGCTTTGGTTTGGTTGGCATTCTTTAGAATCTAACTGGAGGAGTCAATTTGTTTCTATAGGAGCCCAATAAAGTCTTGCTCGGTTTTTCATTGCACAGTCTGTTGAGGTTCAGTCGATGTTCCTTTCTCTGCATGGCTTTCCATTTCTCAAACTGGGGAAGCTGAGGGGCTTCTGAACAGGGGACAGTGACTGGAGTACACTAAACAGGAATGGGTGTCAATGCTTTGAACTCTTTCAGCAAACTGTCTTTGTGGTACCAATTGGACTGTTATAATCATTTTTATTTAACAAATTTCCTTGGAAAGATGAAGGAACCAAGATATAAAGTTTAAGGAATATGCTGCGTGTCATACACAGTTGGTGCATATTCAAGATGGCTACCAGATTCAGGTTCTAATAACCCCTGAGTCAATGCTCCCAAGGACTTGCTTAAATTTATCTATAAATGGATGGGAAGAAACACTTTTGGTGAGATATTAAAAGGCTACAGAATATACCATTTACTAACCTTTCATGACTAAAATTAAAGTATAAAAATTTTCATGACATCAACAGCAATATTTAGGAGCCCAGATATTTGACCTCCCTTAAGACCCAGTTGGCTCATAATTTGAGAATCACTTTAGGGTTAGTGTTCTCCCTTGAAGGATTTGTCTTGTGTAGTTGGGGAAAACTTAATACCTTTCAACATCATAGCACACACAACATTAGAATTGGAGTACATTCTAGACATTATATAATCTATTCCCTAAATTGTACAGCTCAGGAAACTGAGGCTCAGAAAGATCAAGTATTGCCGAAGGTCATTTGCTAGACTCAGTACTAGAAACTCAGTCTACTGATTGTCACAGACGGAAAACTGCATTTTTTATTGGGTCCTCAGGCACAATCCTGTGTCTTCGATACTAATTATCCCAATGGATTTGCACTTCCTAAAGTACCCACTGGCCTATAGCATCAGATCCAGGGAACACTTTAGAGGCATGTTCTCCAGAGCATCCCACCTTCCTGAAACTCTCTGCTCCATCGAATGGCATGGCACCTTTCTCTGAATTTTCCTCTGATTCTTCTGACCACTTTTTCTCACTCACTATCACTGTGCTCTAAAATATTGGTGTTCACTAGAATCCCATCTTTGTCAGCTTGTCTTCTATCTTTACTCTTACTCCCTGGAAAATCTCCACAGCCTTCTACTGTGGGTAGTGTGCTAATGATTCTCAAAGGAATGTCTGCAAGCTAGACTTGACTCCTGAGCTGCTAGCCTCTCTCTTCCACCTCCTGGGCACCTCCACATGGATTCTCTACTGTCATTCAAATTTAACAATGTCGCAAACTTCTTATAAGACACACATACACACACACACATTTGTAGATAGATACGTGGATAGAGAGAGATGCATCCTGTTATAGAAATGATATATTTTTTTTTAAAAAATGTTCAAACTTCAGGTTAAGTACACAGATACTAAGAAAGAGGATGAAAAAAAAATATACAGAAGCACACTGCTCAACTTATATACTGGGGCCACAGGGCTGGAACATTGTTCAATTTCTGCCGCTGATACTTAAATATAAGTTTAAAGAGGCTTTTGAAAAATCCTAAGGTAACAACTAGTAATGATAAAATCAAGATGTCTCACTGCAAATTGTTTCAGAAAATAATAGAAATACAACAGAATACACAGAGAAAAAAGAATAGAAGAAAAACATCAAGGAAATAGGAAAACACAGACAACATAAAACACAATGACAGAAGTAAGACTACAAAGCTACTAACATGGTGATGATGAAGAATTTTTAATAACAAGGATGCTGATGGTTTTAATAACAAGGAATGCTTAGTGAAAAAGTCAGGCCACAGAACTGCATGCACTAATGATCACAACTATGTATAACATGCAAGGATGTTTACAGGCAGCAAAGGACAGCAGTTAAGAATATATATTTTAGAATCCACAGATTCAGATTTTAATTCCTAATCCGTGATTTACTATGTGACCTTGAACCAGCTATCAAGCCCACTGTACCTTACTTTCCTCTTTTTTTTCTTTTAATGAGGATAATAATGGTACCTACTTAAGAGTTTGAGGGTGAAGATTAAATTAAAACTACTTGTAAGCTTAAGAAAAGTACCAGGCACACAGGACATGCTTAGTAAGTGGTACTAGTGATTACACTGTTAACTCCCTGATAAATAGTATCCTAGTGTCTTTGTCTCCTTCAACATAGGGCTTCCTTTGCATAGCAGTATGTAGGAGGAAGCTTGGATGAGAAGTCAGGAGGCCTGAATTCTAGTGCTGGATCTGCCAATAATTAGCTCTGTGATCTTGAATAATCTATCTGAAGGCCCTATGCAAAGAGGAGCTAGTCTCAATGCTCTTGTAGATTCTTTAAATTATACTATGGTGGTCAGAGGAAGGATAAACAAAAGAAGGAGAATCACATGCCAAACCTAGACTCTGACATATTCTCTCTGTGTTTACGTTTGCCTTGCCTGCCAGGTTACTCTGTGCAGAAACAAGAACATGCTGTGGAAATGAAACTCACATTATCATCATTTCTGCTGTGAAGATTAACAAAGGAAATCTCAACTAAAATCGGAGTCCGAAGGCCTATAGAAGGAGCTCTCATACTCTACCACTCATTGTCAATTACTCTAAACCAGAAGAGAGGTACCTTGTACCTCCAACAGGAAGTTGGCTACTATTTTACTACTCCAACAGCAGGAAGGAGGGAAGAATTTCTTCTTGCCTAGCAACAAGCTCAGCCAATGGAAAATGCTGCAGCTCAGCCAACAAGGGGCCATTGCCACTCTGAACACTTACTTTCATCCAATGACCTCTCATTTAGAACAGCCTCTCCCAACTCTCCCTTTTTCTCTATAAAAATAAGCTCCCTTCTTTTGTTCTCTGGACTTGCTTGTGGCTCACCATAGTTTGCATATCCCAAATTGCAATTCTTTTGCTATACCTGAATAAACTCATTTTGCTGGTAAAATAACTGGCTATTTGATTTTAAAGTTGACATTGTCCAAGGAGCACACCAATGATGGAGGAGAGAGAAGTGCTGGAGGCTCCTTCTACTAAGACCCTGGTAAGAAAAGAAAATCAGGCCCTGCCCCCTGTAGAACAGTCACAATGTTCAGCATGGTAAATT